CAAAAGACAGTTCTAGAATACAACACAAAACACACGGGTTTGTAACGGTTCCGGTATAATATTGTGATAAAATCTCCCAAAAGACAGTTCTAGAATACAACACAAAACACACGGGTTTGTAACGGTTCCGGTATAATATCGTGATAAAATCTCCCAAAACACAGTTCTAGAATACAACACACGGGTTTGTAACGGTTCCGGTATAATATCGTGATAAAATCTCCCAAGGAGTCGCAAGGTTCAGGATCGGACTTGGTCACAAACCAAGAAAGACTGGGCTAGTGAGTTACAAGGCTGGGAATCTGACGTAGTGATAGAATCGAACTCTATTTTCACTTATGGACTTTTCCATTTGACTAATTATTAAAAACAAAAATGTTAAGCAGACGATAAAACCGAATCATAAAATGAAGCAAAAAAACTTGGTAAATTTTACAAAAATTTCATTTTTCAGTTTAGTCAATTCAGTTATGTAAATAATTTGAGGTTGAAACAAAAGTTTTGTGTTTTTGTGAGGGAGACAGCAAGTGTTCTGTGAAGTGGTAAAGTAGTAACTATACAAGATGTTCTTCCGCTGGGTCCCCGAAAGTGTTCTGTTTCAAGAGTAAATAAAACCAAAATTAAGAGTAACAAATTTTTTTATTTCTTGATTTTCAACTTCACAGAGGGCATAATTCTTCTCTTGATTCATGATGTCCCGACAGTACAAATTGCAGCTTTAAGCGTCCCTTATGTGACGTCATTTTAGTGTCTACTGACTGACTGACAACACACTACTGTATATTGGTGTGAGTGGTTAAAACGGGGGATCCCGGAAAATAATAGAGAGCCGGGCGTGGCTTAGTTCTTTCGAGTTAGAGTGCCGCAAAAACGCGCACCGTACTTTAGGGACATGGAAAATGGTCAAATCCCACTATTGGGTAATATAAGTGAAGCCTAAGAGTTGGCAGTAGGTACTGTTGACTAGCTGCCTTCTATCTAATCCATAAGTGACAGATAACGTTCGTGTGGTTTTCCGCGAAAAGTCTGAAACAAACAATGTTAGCTAATTTTCTAAATGTGATATAATTATTTGAAAAGTAGAATACTGTGAATTCGATAGGCTAGCTACTGATTACGTGTGCTAAAATGATTTGGAAATATGAATAACATTTCTACAAACACGGTAACTTCTTATTGAAAGCTAAATAGGTATTATTCTGATCACCAGGTGTCTCTTCAATCTACCTGTCTCATTATAATCAACAAGTTTGGCTGTATGATGTTATTTCTTTTCCTTGTGAGTGGTTGGCTAGTTATAACACAGTGTTTTAACCATGACAAAGGTAAGTGACCAGGAAGTAAGCTATATTTACCATGTTCATCAAGAATCATGTTCAGCTATATTTACCATGTTCATCAGGAATTCAGTTATATTTACCATGTTCATCGAGAATCATGTTCAGCTATATTTACCATGTTCATCGAGAATCATGTTCAGCTATATTTACCATGTTCATCAGGAATCATGTTCAGCTATATTTACCATGTTCATCGAGAATCATGTTCAGCTATATTTACCATGTTCATCAGTTTAAAAGTGCCTTGTTGTTGTTGTCCCTCGGTGTTTAACAAAGAATCGTGTTCAGTGTGTATTAAAAATCATGTATAACCATATTTATAATTTTCAGTGTCTGTTAAAAATCATGTATAACCATATTTATCATGTTCAGTGTCTATTAAAAATCACGTACAACCATATTTATCATGTTCAGTGTCTATTAAAAATCACGTACAACCATATTTATCATGTTCAGTGTCTATTAAGGAATCATCACAGCCATATTTATCATGTTCAGTGTCTATTAAAATCATGTATAACCATATTTATCATGTTCAGTGTCTATTAAAATCATGTATAACCATATTTATCATGTTCAGTGTTTATTAAAATCATGTATAACCATATTTATCATGTTCAGTGTCTATTAAAAATCACGTACAACCATATTTATCATGTTCAGTGTCTATTAAGGAATCATCACAACCATATTTATCATGTTCAGTGTCTATTAAAAATCCTATACAATCATATTTATCATGTTCAGTGTCTGTTTTGTTGAAATAAGAACTTTTAAATTAACTTTCTTGTAGTGTTTTTTGAAGAAAGTTAGTTTAAAAGTTCTTATTTCAACAAAAAACACTAGAAGAAAGTTAGTTTAAAAGTTCTTATTTCAACACAAAAAACACTACAAGAAAGTTAGTTTAAAAGTTCTTATTTCAACTTCTTATTTCAACAAAAAACACTAGAAGAAAGTTAGTTTAAAAGTTCTTATTTCAACACAAAAACACTAGCTTTTAAACTAACTTTCTTGTCCGCCTCTAGGTGTCCTGTTGGATCCAAGTAGTAGTGACCAGTATTTGAATCCTCTCTACTTTTAAACTAACTTTCTTGTCCGCCTCTAGGTGTCCTGTTGGATCCAAGTAGTAGTGACCAGTATTTGAATCTGTATACTCTCTACTTTTAAACTAACTTTCTTGTCCGCCTCTAGGTGTCCTGTTGGATCCAAGTAGTAGTGACCAGTATTTGAATCTGTATACTCTCCAACCCTTTCATCGCACTTTGATGCAACTACATCCTGGTTACAAAATAGGTTTGTTTACGTTTTTTTACCCACTGCCGTTTACTGACATCAAACGGAAACCGATCTCTCGTGACTTTGGGATCGGTTCTGAGTTTCTTGGCAAACGATCGGTGTATAAACCAGCTGGTAGCTTAATGGGTTCCGAAATATTCGACAAAAAGATGGGCTCTGAGTTTCTGGGAAAGCAGACGGATGACTTTGAAAACCAAATTAAAGACGAAGTAGTTAAAACAACTCAAAACAAGCGGCTGAGCTCAACATTTTTGGGAGAACGTTTGAAGGATGTTGACAATAAATTCATCTACATCGGCTCCTCATCAGATCTCCAAAACAAACGGATGGGGTCAAAATTTTTGGCCAGAAAAAGACGAGAACTACATCAAGCAACATCAAGCCAGAAGTTCCCGCCAGAGGGTGTTGCGTTTATATAAGGTAAGATCGAAATATGTGATAAACAACTGTTTATAACCTAAACAAAACATTCAACTTTCAAGGGGTCTGTATCTCATCATAGTAGTCGATACGATACACATCTAGATACAGAAGTTTTACCAACGGTCTGTTACAATATACATGTATCTTTACTCTGAACATGAAAATCGCTCTAAACTCGGAGCAGTGACAGCTTTGACTTCATGTACTAAAACATTAATTTTTAGCAAAAATACTTTATTAGAAATTATGCACAAAAGACTTGTAATGTTTACTGAAAGTTTGCCAAATTTTGTGAAGATACATAAATCGTATCGGACGATGTACCGATATAATCGTATCGCGGCTTTACGATACGATCGATACTCGTATCGTATCGCTGTATTGCGACACCCCTAATATATATGTATACACATGTGTATGTTCACAGATGGGGTGTTATGCTTTATAAAAACGATTTCATAAACTAATCAGTGCATGTTACAGTAAAGAAAAACTGACGATAGCGTATTATCTGTACCACCAGAATGAACATGACTGACGAGGACGATAGCGTATAATCTATACCACCAGAATGAACATGACTGACGAGGACGATAGCGTATAATCTGTACCACCAGAGTTAACATGACTGACGAGGTGTACCACCAGAATGAACATGACTGACGAGGACTATAGTGTATAATCTATACCACCAGAATGAACATGACTGACGAGGACGATAGCGTATAATCTGTACCACCAGAGTTAACATGACTGACGAGGTGTACCACCAGAGTTAACATGACTGACGACGGACGATAGTGTATAATCTATACCACCAGAGTTAACATGACTGACGAGGTGTACCACCAGAGTTAACATGACTGACGAGGTGTACCACCAGAGTTAACATGACTGACGAGGACGATAGTGTATAATCTATATCACCAGAATGAACATGACTGACGAGGACGATAGTGTATAATCTATACCACCAGAATGAACATGACTGACGAGGACTATAGTGTATAATCTGTACCACCAGAATGAACATGACTGACGAGGACGATAGTGTATAATCTGTACCACCAGAATGAACATGACTGACGAGGACGATAGTGTATTATCTATACCACCAGAATGAACATGACTGACGAGGACGATAGCGTATAATCTATACCACCAGCGTTAACATGACTGACGAGGACGATAGCGTATAATCTATACCACCAGAGTTAACATGACTGACGAGGACATTAGCGTATAATCGCTACTATCATAATGGGCATGACTGACGAAGATATATGGTGGTCATAGCTTTATATAACAATACAATAGTTTTATGTTTTACTTAGAAGGTCTATGAATTTTCAAAACTTGTTAAATAATTAAATCAGGAAGTAAATGTTGCCCTTTTTATTTTAATTAAGCACATTAAAATTTGAAAATGACATGTCATACATTTATTTCTATTGTCATATTATGCTTCTTTGAAGTTTTAGTGAAAAATTAATTCTTGAAACTGATTTAAAAGTGATTTACTAATAAGATGTTTTATGTTTCTTTAATTAAATGATGTTTTCTTTCACCAAATAAAAAATCCTTAACATCAAATAATACTTCAGAATTATTGTTGATACAGACTCAATTATTTAATAGGATAATCTGAAAAAAAGTTACAAAAGCAGTTTATAACGAAAATTATTCTATTTTGTTTTACAGATTCACGTGGATATTTACCACACAGCTCATGCCTAAAGTCAGAGTACTAAATTTAATTATGACAGGATAAACCCTATTATAGATAATTCATGAAGATTGGATTAATAAATATAATTATAAAAGAATAAATCCTATTGTAGATCATCCATGAATATTGGATTAATAAACATAATTATAACAGGATAAACCCTATTACAGATTATCCATGAAGATTGGATTAATAAACATAATTATAAAAGAATAAACCTTATGGCAGATCATCCATGAAGATTGGATTAATAAATATAATTATAAAAGGATAAACCCTATTACAGATTATCCATGAAGATTGGATTAATAAACATAATTATAAAAGAATGAACCCTATTGTAGATTATCCATGAATATTGGATTAATAAACATAATTACAACAGGATAAACCCTATTACAGATTATCCATGAAGATTGGATTAATAAACATAATTATAAAAGAATAAACCTTATGGCAGATTATCCATGGATATTGGATTAATAAACATAATTATAACAGGATAAACCCTATTACAGATTATCCATGAAGATTGGATTAATAAACATAATTATAAAAGAATGAACCCTATTGTAGATTATCCATGAAGATTGGATTAATAAATATAATTATAACAGGATAAACCCTGTTGTAGATCATCCAGGAAGATTGGATTAATAAATAAAATTATAACCTTAAACCCTGAAGTAGATCATTCACGAAGTTAGGATTGAAAAAGATGATTATTATCTTAAAACCAGCCACGTGGAGCAAATTATTGTTGTAAAAACCAATCTGCAAATAAAGTAGTTTGAACAATTGTTGAAAATAAACGGATATTATTGTTGTAAAAACCAATCTGCAAATAAAGTAGTTTGAACAATCGTTGAAAACAAACGGATATTATTGTTGTAAAAACCAATCTGCAAATAAAGTAGTTTGAACAATCGTTGAAAACAAACGGATATTATTATTGTAAAAACCAATCTGCAAATAAAGTAGTTTGAACAATCGTTGAAAACAAACGGATATTATTGTTGTAAAAACCAATCTGCAAATAAAGTAGTTTGAACAATCGTTAAAACAAACGCATATTATTATTGTAAAAAGATTGTTCAAACTACTTTATTTGCAGATTGGGGTTTTTACAACAATAATATCCGTTTGTTTTCAACAATCTGCAAATAAAGTAGTTTGAACAATCGTTTAAAACAAACAGATATTATTGTTGTAAAAACCAATCTGCAAATAAAGTAGTTTGAACAATCGTTTAAAACAAACAGATATTATTGTTGTAAAAACCAATCTGCAAATAAAGTAGTTTAAAAAATCGTTGAAAATAAACAGATATTATTGTTGTAAAAACCAATCTGCAAATAAAGTAGTTTGAAAAATCGTTGAAAATAAACGGATATTATTGTTGTAAAACCAATCTGCAAATAAAGTAGTTTGAACAATTGTTGAAAACAAACAGATATTATTATTGTAAAAACCAATTTGCAAATAAAGTAGTTTGAAAAATCGTTGAAAATAAACGGATATTATTGTTGTAAAACCAATCTGCAAATAAAGTAGTTTGAAAAATCGTTGCAAATAAACGGATATTATTGTTGTAAAACCAATCTGCAAATAAAGTAGTTTGAAAAATCGTTGAAAATAAACGGATATTATTGTTGTAAAACCAATCTGCAAATAAAGTAGTTTGAACAATCGTTGATTTTCTTTTTACTTAAACTACATATATATCTTATATACAATTTTATTTTTAAATATATTTAAAA